TAAAATATCATAATTATCATATTTGAATAAAATATCATAACACACATATCTTTAATTCAAAAAAAAAAAATAACGCAACTACTCTTTATTAAACATTTAATGTTGAATTATCTCATTCTATTTTTGGAAAAAAAGCTGCACGCAAAAATGTCTGAAACCGAGAAGATCAATGTTGTTCTGAGTTATTTTTAATACAGCTTGAATATTTTTAATTGAAGCTGAACCATGATTTAAACAAATAGTATAATTGATACTGAGATAAACTAGTATAATTGTATAATTGATACTGAGATAAACTCATACAAAATAAGCATTTTCATGATAAATATACCATGTCAATATTAGGTGGATTGAAAGCATGGCTATTTTTTCAATATTAAGTTAATTGTAAGTATAACTATTTTTGTAAAGAAAAAAAAGCTTACTTTGATTTAAGAATAAAAATGAGGTAATAAAGTGGTCTGTAGCTATTTTTATGAAATTGTTGAGCTTAACTAAAAAAACATGTATTACTTATTATCAATCATAAATGATTATTCATTATTATAATACAAGACATTCGTGTATAATGGAGGTGAGCAAAAAATGAAAAAAAAACTTCTTTTGGTTTTATATTGCCTAATTATATTTTCTACAGTAGACAATATAAGTATTCATAGAAAATGAGGTAAATATATAATAACACACTCATAATTTGTGCATATAACTAATACTTTGAATAAACTGTTGTTTTTTTTCACCTTAACTTCTCAATTTCATCTTAATTAATGTTATTTGAGTTATAAATGTATTGTTTTTTTTTAGATTTGGTCCATAGCAACCTATAGATCATGAGATTCTGCAGAAAGATGAACCATCAAATTTTAAATATTTATGCATTCTAAACATTTTTTGTGGGTTAAGAGCTTTTAAGCAATAAAATATTGAGCAAATTATTCTGCTATCTTACTTTAGTAATCAAACATTTTGTATAATTAAAAAAATTAAATGAATTACCGAATATGTAATATTAAAACAAATATGATCTGTTTTTAAGTCTTTTTTATATAGTGTTTGCAGATCCTTATACAAACCACTTTCTTTATCGAATCTAAAAAAAAATATATATATATAACTAAATATATATATATATATATATATATATATATATATATACAGGCGCGGATCTAAGGGGTGGCCATTGTGGCCATGGCCACATAGTTTAAAGCCAGATTGATTTATTAAAAAAAAATTATTTAATGCTTATCAAAAATCTTTTAGATTTAGATATAATTATTAAGATATTTTTAAATATATGTAATTGAAAACGATTTTAGGACTTGCGTATCATTTTTCGTCGTTGCTAAACACGTCACGCTAAATTTAAATTTTAAAAACGCTGTAAACATCCGCTATATTATTTCAAAATTCTCTGCAATAGAGAGTCAATAATACTTATAAACTCTGCGTGACGTACGTTATGGATAACCCTTATCGGGTTATGGCCATAGAGATAAAATTTAACGGCAGCCAACTTAGCTTTGGGTTTCTTTGCTAGCAGAATATTCCTCAAAATTTCATTGCGTCTGCCGTAATTTACGTAATTTGACCATAGAGATTCCTGCGATGGCCACAACGGCTCCTATTATACGTTACCGACCTTTTATTCAATCGACAAATGCTATCAAATAAATAATAAAATATAGATCTTTCAACCGTGAAAATTAAACTTGGCCACACAGTTGGTTTTGACGTGTCCGATTTAGAAAAATGTTCTCTTATATAGTAGCTAACTAATTTGGGTTTTTTATTCGTTACCGTGACATTTTCATTAAAATCGTCTTTAGAAACTAAAATAGCGTGACTTTAATAACTTGATTTTTTAAAATTTATATAATATGAATCCATATTTAACTGAAGAACTAGTTGCTTGTGCAATAGAAACAAAGCATAGGCCTAATGTCTTAAATTACAAAACTAGACTCATTAAAGAGCTTTCGGAAATAAATTTAATGTTTCCAAGAATACACGATTCTTACCAATTTAACACAGATATGATGGATTTTGTACCCTTAAGTAAAAAAAATCTTGGTTATTCAGCATTGAGGTATTTTTTGTTTGTTTTGAATTTTATGAAAGTATTATTTAATTAAAATAATATCACAAATTGGATCTAGATGTAAGATCAATGTTAGATTTTAATTTTATTTATTGGTATTTTAACACCAATAGAATATAAATCTGTGTTAATAATTAGTTAAACGTTTAACTAATTATTAACACAGATTTATATTCTTGATAATGTGTATGAAAATAAATTATTTATTAAACATACAAATAACCTAAAAAAAGTGATTTAGTTTTTTAATAAGAAATTATGGTATATACTAAAATGTAATATTAGTAAAAAAAAAAAATATTTATAGTTGAACTATTTATTTTTTTGTTATTGATATTACATTTTAGTATATTATACTCATTATTATATTTTAATATATTTTATTATTTATCTCAGATCTACTGAAGATGGAAATTGTCTTTATAGTTCAGTATCTTTGATTTTAAATGACAATAATCATACTTCAAAAATTCTAAGATTACTGACATCAATTGAGTTATTTGAAAACATAAATTTTTACACAAGGTATGATTATTTTTGTAGTTATTTTAATCAACATAGATCTGAATATTCTCAGCTTTCTAATTTGTTTTTTATTGCTGTTTCGTTTAAATGCTCTGACAGTTTTTCAACAATTAATGATAATATGATTTCTGAACTTCTGTTAAAAGAAGCGTATTTAAATTGCTTTGATAAAACATTTTCATCTTTCATTTGTCTGATAGCATTATCTAATGTTATAAAGCAACCTATTGAATTTATTTATCCTGAAATCGGTTTTAAAAAGTATCATAGTTTTTTTAATACTCTTATAAAGCCTCGCATCCAAAAATTAAATTGTCCAATAAATATTTTGTGGTGCAATTTAGAAAAAACAAAAAACCAAAGTATTTTATGTTTTAAGCCAAATCATTTTGTGGCACTGGTTAAAGATCTTTCTAAAAAACGTCCAGCTGTTGTTATGAGTGATCCAAGTTTACTTAGCATCAAAAAAATAAAAGTTTCTAAGTCTAGTTTTCCACCTACAGATAACAAAATACAGAAACCAATTCAGTCTAAATTATTTTTTCCTACTGTTTCTAAAAACACTTCAGATATAGATAAGTCTAGTTTTTGTAATAAAATAGTAAAAACTGAAGTAGTTATCTCAAAAAATGCCAACAACAATGATAAAAAGCAAATGAATCTTGAATCTAATGTTCCACAAAAGGAAAGCAATATTGTTGACATTAGTTTATTAAATACAAATCAGCTAGCATCTTATTCAAACTATGATGTTTCATACTGTCTACAAGGTGAAAAATTAAAATCAGGAACAAATGATCATGAACTTTTATCTCTAATTAATAATGTCTGGGTTCCAGATAAATGTTTCCAATTCCCTTTAAAAGGTAAAAGCAGAAAAAGACGTTTTTTGCTAAAATGGCTAGATGATTTTTCTTGGCTTTGTTACTCTAAAATTGAAGATGGTGCATATTGTCTTCCATGTACACTTTTTGGTACAAATTTACCAAACAAATATGCATTATGTAAATTGTTTAAAGAACCATTTAATACCTGGCGTAATGCTGTAAAAGTTTTCAATGATCATGAGAAAACTGTTGACGGATTATACATCAAGTCCATGCATTGTTATAATATGCTTTTATCTAGAGCTAAAAATAATACTTTTCCTATTGAAGTTTCTTTAGATAGTTCTAGGGAACAGCGTATAGAAGAAAACAAAAAAAAGCTTGAATCAATTGTTAAGACTATAATATTTTTAGGTCGAAGTGATATGCCTCTACGAGGTCATAGAGACGATAGAAAATATCAAGGAGAAATTGGAGAATCTTCAAAAAATACAGGGCTGGGTAATTTCATTGAGCTTTTAAGTTTTAGGGTTGATGCAGGTGATTTAATTTTAAAGGAGCATCTTCTCTCTGCCCCCAAAAATTCCACATATATTTCAAAGACCATTCAAAACGAGTTAATTGAGTGTTGTGGAAATGCAATTGAAGAAGTTTTATTAAATGATATTAAAAAAAGCAAGTAATTCTCCATTATTGCAGACGAGGCTTCAGACTGTGCAACAATAGAACAACTTTCTATTGTCATATGTTATGTTGACTTGAACAGTAATATTAAGGAAGTTTTTTTACGCTTTTTTGAATGTAAAACAGGTACAAGTGGTTTAAGCATAGCTACCAACATTCTTGAAACTTTAAAAGAATTTGGTTTAGATATAAGAAAATGCAGAGGCCAGTCTTATGACGGAGCTGCTTCAATGTCAGGTGAATACAAAGGTGTTTCATCTGTTATAAAAAATGTTAATCCTAAGGCATTATTTGTCCACTGTGCCTCACATAAACTTAGTTTAGTTGTTGGGAAGAGTTGCCAAATCCAGCAAGTAAAAAATTTGCTTGAGCAAGTTAAAGACATAACTTATTTTTTTAACTTTTCTCCAAAAAGAAGTAATTGCTTAAAGAAATACCTTCTTCCTGGTAAGGCAAAACTTATTGACACATGTCGAACTCGGTGGGTACAAAAGCTTCGTAGACTTGATGTGTTTTTCGATAATTATTCTGCAGTTTTTTCTGCTTTTAAAGAAATGGAAGACAATAATTTAAAAGAGTACAATAAAGAAACATCTTCAAAAGCATCTTCTTTTATGAAGTTATTGACAAATTTTTCTTTTATAGTTTCTTTAGTTTTAACTAAACAACTAATGGATTACTTTTATGGAATTTCTGTTACTATTCAAACTAAATCTTTTAATATTTCCCAGCAACTGGATGAAATTCAGAATTTGACTAATCGTTTAAGAGAAATACAAAGAAATGCTGATGCTTACCATAATAAATGGTATAAAATTGCTCTTGCATTGGCTAAAACATTTGATATTGATGAAAAAAAACCTAGAACATGTGGTGTTCAGAAGCATAGAGATAATCAAATATGTGATACTGTATCTGATTATTTTAAAGTTTCTATTACATTGCCTCTTCTTAATCATCTTCTCAATGAGCTAGAAAATAGGTTTGATATTGAGAGCTTAATTGTTTATAATGGTCTATGTGCTATTTCTGCTAGTTTAACAAAGCAATATTTTAGATCTTGTCCATGGAAAGAAAAATTCCTAATTTTTTTGAATTTTTATAAATCTGATCTTCCTCATTTCTCATCAATTAATGCTGAATTAGAGTTATGGGAGGAATTTTGGAAAGAAAAGATAGAATTACCATCTACTATTTCAGATACATTAAAGTTTATGGATATGAGAGGCTTTCCAAACATTTTATAGACTCTTCATATACTTGCTACAATACCAATCACAACTTTTGAAAGGTCAATATCTGCTCTTAGGAGAATAAAAACTTACACTAGGAGTACTATGTCAGAAAATAGATTGAATAGGCTTGCTTTAATGTCTATTCATCAGGAAATAGTTCCTGATATTAACAGAGTTATTGAAATATTTGCATCCAAAGGAGATAGAAAATTAGTGTTTTTATTCAAATAAAAGTTTTGAAGTTATGTTTAAAGTATTAACTATTGTTTTAAAAGTATCTCTTAAATATAAATAATTTCTCAATAGCAAAATATTTCTACTCATTGTTTTAAACATGTAAATTGTGAAAATCATTTTTCATTAGCAAATTATTACTATTCATTGTTTTATATAAACTGTGAAACTCAATAATTCATTTGCTATTTCAATTAATTCCTAATGTTGAGAGCGTTTTCAGGTGGTTTAGGTTGTTACTTTTTTAGTTGTTACTTTATTTGTTGTATTATTTTTTCTTGTTTATTTATTAATTAAAAAATAAAAGTAAAAAAAATTATAAAAATATTTAAAATATTTGTGCATAACTGCCTATCAAAAAAAAAAAAAAAAAAAAAAAGAATCCAGAAATGGAGGGCTAACCTTAAATAAGATTACTAATACTTAAGTTAAACTGTTTATTAAGAAAAGGAAATAATCCATAAATAGAGGAGTAACTTTAGGAAACATTAATAATAATTAACTTAAATTGTCTATCAAAAAAAGGGAAGAACCAGAAATGGAGGGCTAACCTTAGGCAACATTACTAATACTTTACTTAATCTGCCTATCAAGAAATAGAAAGAATCCAGAAATGGAGGGCTAACCTTAGGCAGCATTACTAATACTTTACTTAAACTGCCTATCAAGAAAAGGAAAGAATTCAGAAATGGAGGGCTAACCTTAGGCAACATTACTAATACTTTACTTAAACTGCCTATTAAGAAAAGGAAAGAATCCAGAAATGGAGGGCTAACCTTAGGCAACATGACAGTTTACTGATGGAGTGCAAAGTCCTATGGCTTACCTTCTCGTTGGTGCACTTCGTTAAGTGAGTTAGACAAGTATTATGTCTAATTTACGAACTAAATAGCCAAGGCAACAATTTAAACAACTTTATTTTTAAATAGATAACTAAAAACAGAAAAAATCATGACATCAATAGGGTTATGTCACCCCTTCTTTATCAACTGAAAATATAAAATTGTATCTGGGAATTTTAAATATAGTTTAAAGTTAACAAATGTAAAAAATTGAGGCTTATTTATTTTTTCGTTCAAAGAACTTTACTCCCCCCCCCTCAATCTCTTCCCTATCACTTATTTAAAAAAAAAAATAGCTCTTCGCGCCGTCCGCGAACCCAGATTTGGCCACATAGTTACAAAATCCTGGATCCGCGCCTGATATATATATATATATATATATATATATATATATATATATATATATATATATATATATATATATATATATATATATATATATATATATATATATATATATATATATATATATATATATATATATATATATATATATATATATATATATAGCCTTTGTAATCTATGGGATTTAAGTTGCAAACACAATTTTGCCATTAATTCAGGTAAGTATTGTCAAGACTTGACAAATTGTTTAGACTTGACAACCGTTTAGACTTGACAACTGTTTTTAAAAAAAAAAAAAAAATTGACTAAAATATAATATAAATATTGCAAATAATATATATGTCGTGTTAAATATGGTCTGAATATTTTTTCTTTTTCATAACTGAATTTGAACACTTCTTTTCTATACTGCTGATAACTTTCTGCATGTTTTATACCAAATTAAAATTAGATTTCCTATTTTGTAAACTATTTTATATAATATTCCATACATTAAACTACATAAAAATTGCATCCCAACAAAAAAAAAAAAGAACAACAACAACAAAACACTCAATTTTTCATTTTATTGTGCTTATCACTAATAAAAATAAAAAATCAAAATGTCTACGCTGTCCCTAAATAATCGATTTAACGAATCTTTAACTAAATGCAAATAAAAAATAAAAATCATTTAAAAAAGAATAATGATAATTAGTTTAATAATTTATTAGATAAAGTTTTTTATTAAATAAAGTTTTTTATTAAATAAAGTTTTTTATTAGATAAAGTTTTTTATTAAATAAAGTGAGTAATGATAAATTTATACAAAACAAAATATAAAAAATTTCATTTTACATATTTTTTATGTCCTTCATTTTAAATACTAAACATTAAATGGAAATAATATCTTTTGACAATTGCAAGTGTGTTTTATTTTTTTTTCGAAATGGACATAACCACACTTTTTTCAGAAAAAAACAGGGAGGGGTAGAGGAGAGGCTTTTAATTTTTTATTTCTTACGTAAAGTTTTATAAAATAACATCAATAGTTTTTTAAATAATACTTATTTTAAAAAATGATTTTGAACTTGAGGCAACATGGAATGAATTTATTTCAAAACCACTTAACAGAGATTCTTCTGAATAGCCCAATCTTTTAAAACTTAATAATACTAATGTACTAATACTAATCATTTTGTTCAATGCTTACTATTTGAAATATGATTTATAAAATGATAATTTGCCAACAAACTAATGCTCTGTGTTATTGTTTTGAGCAAACTTAGGCAATAGAATTCTAGTCTAGAACCATAGGGCATTTGGGCTACTAAATTTTTAATTATATTGATTTATTGTTTTAATTTAAATATTTTATATTTAACTGAATTTAATTTACTTTACTTTAATTGATTTAAAATGAATTAATTTCTGATGATTCTTTATTGATGAAACACAGTGTATAATGAAAAAAAAATTTTTGTAAAGTAACTTTCTACTAATTTATAATTGCTGTGTTTTTTTAAGAACATTGAGCACTCTATTTTGTAGAATACATTTCAAAATTGTTTAAATATATATATATATATATATATATATATATATATATATATATATATATATATATATATATATATATATATATATATATATATATATATATATATATATATATATATATATATATATATAAACACACTTATATGTTTAGAATAAAAATTAAACTTACCCTTTCAGCTTAACATACCAATCATACAAGTTGGTACCATCTTTTAACTCTATTGTATATATTTCTTGAAAAAAAAGATTTTAAAAAATTAGGAAAAATGATTTTAATAAACTAAGATAATATATAAAAAAAATTTTATCTAAAAAAACTCAGTAATTACTTATTTTGTAATTATTTTTTTTTTATTAATATAAATTAAACAACCAATTTTTTTTTAATAATTAATTGATTATTTTATTGGTGAACTAAGATCTTGTTAATTGATCTTTTAAATTTGAAATACAGTTAATTCCTGGTAAGTTGGACACCGGTTAACACGAACTTTTGTTATCACGAACTGTTTAATTTGGTCCCTTGGAATTGTCTAACTGATTACTATTAAAATTCTCCGGTTAAGTCAAACATCGGATAACTCGAATTTTGTTAAGTCGAACCATTTTATTTAAAACCCAAATTGTCAGCGTATGAGAAAAGGGTCATTTGCAAATTTGGATCAAGCCATTTTCAAATGGTTTCTGATTGTTCGTAGCAGAGAAATCACTGTCTTTGCTTTAATTCTCAAAACTAAAGCCATGGAATTTACTGAAAGAATTAATGTTAAGATGGTTCAGATGGTTGGTTAGACCGCTGAAAGAAACAATACAACATATCATTTAAAATGATTTCTGATGAAGCTAATGCGTGTACAAGTGAAATGGTAGCACCATAGGAGAAAACCACGTTACCAACCATTTTATCAAAATATAAGTTGATCCAGATTTATAATGCTGACATTATATTGGCTTGTTTTATGGGCTCCACCCAAATAAATCTTTACATTTTAAAAATGAAAAATGTATCGGTGGGAAACACAGAAAATACATCTTACAGGATTGGCATCCTCTAATGCATTAGGGAAAAAAATGCCAATGTTTGTTATTGGCAAAGCTAAATTGCGCAGATGCTTTAAAAATGTAAAGCATTTGCCCTCCCGTTATCGCAGTCAGAAGAAAAGTTGGATGGATTGCACACTATTCGAGGAATGAGTTTGTGAAATTGATCGGCAATTTACAAAGGAAAAACTAAAAATTGTTTTATTAGTTGATAATTTTCCAACTCATCCAATAATTAATAATCTCGAATCAATAAAACTAATCTTTTTACCACCAAACACTACCTCGAAGCTCTAGCCAATAAACCAGGGTGTGATTAGGTTACTTAAAGCCCATTATAGAATACTATCTGTTCAAAAATTAATAGATTCAATAGAAAAAAAAAAGGCTCTTCCGGAATTTACTATAGTGGATGCCATGCAAATGCTTGATGTTACTTGGGGGAAGGTGAAGACCGAAACTATTTGCAATTGGTTTGCTAAAGTTGGAATTTCAGAGAAAATATGTTTTGATGCCTCGGTAGATGTAGATGATCCCTTGAGATGAGGATCTCAAAGACCAGTTAGAAAAACTTGCTGGAATTTGAAGGAACAACAGCAAAAGATGTCGTGTCCATGGATGATTTTATCATAACTGCCGAGCCAATAATGAATGATGAGGAGATTATACCAGACGTTTTAGGAGAAGAAAATTTTGAGACTGAAAAAGATAAAGATAGTGATGTAGATTTTTTGATCGAACCAACTTGCCTTCAATCGGGTAATGTACATCAATCCTTGGAAGTACTACGAAGCTATATGATATTCAGTGACAATGGGGAGTGTATTCATAAAAGTATAAACCAAATAAACTTAATTGTGGAAAAAGAATTATCAGAGAAATTAATACAAGCAGATACGTAGCTACTTTTACTGAAATTTTTTCACACTTTTTATTACTATAATAGTGTATATTTAATGTTTATACTTTAGCATTAAATAAATAAAAATCGCCTTAACTCAAACTAACATCTCATTTCTGTCAAAGTTCGACTTAATGAGACTTAAGTCGAACAATTTTCCTTAGTTCTTTGGAGGTTCGAGTTATCGGGAATTAACTGTATTGACAATGTAAAAAAAAAATTTATTAAAACTTTTATTCAAAAAATGAGTTTTTTAATGTATATTTTAAAAAATATTATTAAAAATAAATTTGTGAATGTATTTTTGTTTATCTAACTTTAAGATTACTCTAAGTAGGATGCAAAAAAAAAGACAATTTTATCTACTAGACTTCCATTTCACCAATGGAGAATTTCTCAGAAGATATTACTGGCCCAACATTAGCAAACAAACCAGGTATTTTCTAACTGATTATTCCATCAGTAACTATTACAAATTTTTTCAGCACTAAGATGGTACAAAGTTGGCTGTCTCCTTGCTTCAGGGAAAAATTATCTGAAATGCAACAAGTTTGCAGTAGGAAAGTATGAAGAGAACTAAAATCACAGTTATTTGCATTTTGAGGAAACCGATAGACTTAAGGGACAAGACTAGATTAGACTACTACTACTGCTTAGTCACAGAGCAGCAAATCAAAAACAAGATTAGCAACAAAATCAATAAGTACCAATCCTTTAAAAGACTCAAGAGTCTACCTGATGGAAGCTTCAGTATAAAAGCTGATAACTTTTTAAAGGAAAGCAACTTTTTATTTCACATTCAAAAAGCTAAGATCTTTAACTTGATAAAGTGTGACCCAAACAAGGCCAAGAAAATCCAAAACAAGGTCACTCAATTTCTGAAGAAATCAAGGGGCCACAAAGAGGACATGTTCAAGATAGTAGGAAATGACAACACATTTCAGAAAAATGAAAAATAAAGAAGAAAAGATCATGAAAGAAAAAATAAGGGGACAAGATGAAAAGCTAATGAATCAAGAGGAAAAGAATTTAGAATAAGAATAAGCAAATGAATCGGGAAGATTCATTAGCTTATTCTTATTATTTGAATTTAGAATGGAATGATAGCACAAGTTAAAAAAATTAACAAATCAGGAAGGATAAAGATAAGAGGAAGGTAGAAGAACTATAAGAAAAAGTTTAAAGTTACCTTGTATATAGACAGCAACAACCTTCCATACTCTGATGACACTTCTACGATTTCTACAAAAACCAGTAAAATCTAGAGAAAGTACAAGTTAGTCTTCAACTGAGTATGGATGAACTCCAACACAACTGGATCCCTATTGTTTGGTATGTTGAAGACTGTAACCACCAAAGGAAATTACCAGGTCATTGTCATTATGTTTTAGAAATACTTATTGATTGATCATGTTTTTGAAAGGCCTGTTCTCTGGCTAATGTACAGACACCACAGACACCACATACATGAAAGGCATATGTCTCATGTAATGAAACTTGTTCTTAATAAAACAAAAAGTCCAAGCAAATGTCTCTATGTTTTACTCAAGAAACTTGGACAAAAAATACATCTAGAAGCCTGAAAACAAATACACCTAGAAGTTCATTAAGTTGAAAGAATAGTAAAACTTAAACTGTCCCAAGATGCTTTCAGGTCAAGAACTCCAGAGCTCAACAAATCTTTTTTTTTAACAAACATTGACCTTTGTCTCAATATTTATTGGCAAATGTCTAAAGTCTTCTTTGTTTGTAACTTACTGCAAACATTTCATGTCTGAAGAGTACAATTTTAAAACTTAATTTTTAATTTTCTATTTGAACTATAATAAAAACGGCGAAAAGAACAATCTATTATGTGATGAAATAATTTATGTATGAAAATTAATTATAAATAATAACTTTACTTTCTATTATGTAATGTAGTATGAAAATTACTTATAAATATAGAATAACTTATGTATAATTTTTATTAAAAAAACCTGTTTGTTTAATATTCATTTTTAATAAGAATTAATTTAATATAAAGAATTAAAAACTGTATTCCGGTTAAATGGAGAAGACTGTGTCTAAATCAAATGCAAAAATTTTAATTAAAAAAAAATATTTACACTTGTTCATGAAGACTGTTAACAGAATGTTTCAGCTTAGTTTCTTTTCCATATCTTTAAAACATAAAATAAAGTGATTTAGAATAAAATCAATATTTAATAACAAAGTTAAAAACAAAAATGGTAAAATGCAGTGTTAGTTTTTTAAATTTCTAAGCAAACGTCAGTGTTTGAATAAAGAAAAGTTTGTGAGCTCATTGTGTTTTTTCACTGACTATTAAGTCCTGTGGAAACTTACACTCCTTCTAATGACCTAAGAGCTTTTAGGAGCTTAGATCATTAGAAAGAGCCAGGAGCTAGTAGCCAGGAGCTAGTAGCTTTTAACTTGCTAGTTAAAAGCTAACATCTCATATGTTATCTGGTAAAGCTAACATCTGACAAGTCATCTTTTATTTCATCTGACATTTAGAGCTGGATGGTTAAAAACTTAAGAGCTTTTAACCATACATTAATGTCAGATGAATTTAAAGTCAACACACAGATTAGAAAAAGTTCTCACCAAATTGTTTCTACATCATACTTGGTATCTATCTCCAGCTTGTGATTGTCTTTTGCTTACAAAGATCTGGATGTTGTTGTAAACAACAAATTGCTAACTTTTGAGGTTCTGGAAATGGGATTGAAAAGCAAAACAACTGAGTTATTTCATTTTTCTTCTCTTGGAAATAACGAAGAATTTTGTTGTGGAGGGAGAAAGGCATAGCAGGATATTGCAAGAGCGAGAGAGCCCTTAAATCATTTGTCAATTTCTCTACATGTGCAAAACAGTTTTCTGTAGTAAATGATCAGGCTGAACGCCACATCAAATTGATCCAAGGTATAATTGGAAAAACACATGAAGCCAAAAGACCTCAGGACACATAATATAAAAACAAAACTTAATTAACAAGATTTGGATGTAAGTCTGGATTCTTTAACTCTTTTTAAATTTTCAAAAAATAAATTTCAATTTACTTTTTTTATAACAAAATTGTCACATAAGATCGTTCTTATTCAATTGGAATCGATGTAATCTAAACCAGTATTCAGTGAGTGTTTTAATTAAAAATGTAATTTTCAACAAAACAAATAATTTATTATTTAAAAGTTTTTGTATTTAAATAAAAATAAGCATGAGCATTTTAGTTGTTAGGATTTGTGTTTTAGTTGTTATTTTAGTTGTTAAGGTATACAGTTAGTGTTTAGAGTTAGTGTTATTTATATGTTAAAGAAGAAACTATTTAATGTGGAGCTTATGTTTGCATTAAAGCTCTTGTCCAAATTTCAGATCAACAATTGGCATCCACGGTAATTTTAAGGTTTTGTTATCTAAAGGTAAAGATATTAGGAATGGTTACTTTTATATTTATTTTATGCTTTTAAAATCAAAATTTAAAAATTGTTTTTTTTTTAATCATTTTCAAGAATTTGTTTTTATTTTAAAAGTTTCTTTCTTAACAATTTTTATTTATGAAGATAATGAGCACAATAGATTAGCATAAATATACTATTTAATAAATAGGTATAAATAAAAATCCAGAAAAGGATAATCCCTGAATAAATAGGTATAAATAAATATCCAGAAAATGATAATCCATGAATAAATAGGTATAAATAAATATCCAGAAAAGGATAATCCCTGAATAAATAAATATTGTATATGTGTTGAGCAAGTAGAGTAATGAACAGTTTAATGCATATTATGCATCAATTATATTAATTATATGCATACTATGCACATAATTAATATGCATATTATGCACATAATTAATATGCATATTATGCACATAATTAATCCATATGTTATGGAATTATGATATGAAAAATATAAATGTACAATGCATAATGATATGAAAAGGCGTAAATGCACATTTTTAATTAAGGTACATGATATGGAATTTTAAAAGGTTTTTTAAATCATAGCATTTAAATATTACATTTTATTTGTTAATGAACCATACTTTGTTTTTTAATCATAATAACTTTTAATGCATGAATTTAACTATATTTTAATTATTAAAGAACTTTTTTCCTTGACAATACCAAGATTCTCCTGACTTTATTTTGTGATCACTATAAACTATGGTATACAATCTTGGTTAAAATTTTATGTTATTATCTATTAAGTTATATATTTTTATTTCATTGTTTTTAATACATATAAAAGAATTTTTTTTTTAATTATTTTTACACAATTTTTATAAGTAAATAACAATAAAAAAAAAGTGTTAAATAAATATATAATGCTAAAAATAATTCTGAGACAAATATATCTTTAGGAAAGTAAAACTATACTGCTTTACCATCAAATAAACGGTTGGAAAAAATGAGGCAATAATTTTGAAGGAGGAAAAATTTTGAACAACATTTGAACTCAAACTTCTTATGCAAAATGACTCAACAAAAAACTCAGGGTTGAAAAAAAAGGTTCACCAAATTAATAAACTAATGTTCTAATTAAATTTTTTGTATTTCTCGCTTTCATCAAATCAGAGATTAGAGTGACAGGTAATAAAAGTTTATAAAAAAAGAATCAATACAACAATAAGCTTATAAACTTAACTAAAAAATATATATATAATATAAACTTATAATATACACACATATGTAATTTAGTGAAGATTTGTTAATTTTAAAACCTGTTCATATAATACTTTTAACAGTAATATAGCCAAAAAAAAAATTATTATTTTTAATTATGCCATAAAAAATTCTTCAAATTCATACACACAACTTATTGTTTTTAATATTCTTTTTCACGATGTGTGCGATTAAATTATGACTCTTTGGTCAAACAAAGCGGAAAACACAAAAACAGTATCTACTGTGATAAATTGCTTCAGCGATTCATTAGTGTCATGTTTGAATTAAAAAAATAACATTGTTGAAAACCTCTCCAAAACACAAGTGTTCAAACAAAGGAAACTTGGAAAAAAGAAAAACATGCATGACTGCTTTGATGTAACAATGGGCAGTTATGATAGAGCAGAAATTTGTTAATTTGTTGGACTACATATATTAAATTTATCAAGTAAAATAATCAATATTAATTATTTAGGCCTTTATCAAGATGATGGTTTAATAGTAATGCATAAAAAAAATTTAGCCTACGTTTTGATAAAATTAGATTTTAAAATTATTAAAATTATTCTAAATTGAAACAAGCATAAATTTAAAAATTGTTAAAAAATGTCACATTTAACCTCTCTGAAAATTCATAGAAGCCTTTTAAAAAACCAAATGATGAATTACTGTATACTAATATTAATTCAAATCATCTACCCCAAATTCTAAAACAAATCCCAATTTCAGTAAATAACAAGTTAAAGCAAAACTCTTCTGATGGAAATGTATTCAATTCTTCTAAATGTATTTATGAAGATGTCCTTTGAAAAAATGGATTTCAAAATTTGAAAAAAAGAATGCAAAAAATCGAAAAATTTGTTATAGCAAATATATTTACACTAACATAGAAAAAGTGTTTTTAAAATTGGTGGATAAAAGGTCACAATAATGCTTTGTTAAACAAAAAAGAAATCTTAAATGGAAACATTACAGAAAATTGTAATTGTAAACAAGAAACAATTGTACGATGAGTGGAAAGTGTAAAAAAACACTAATAGGATATTCAAAGATAAAAACATTGATAATTTTGTATTGAATTGATCAACCTTTAAAACAGCACCTGCATATAATATATCCAAAAAATGCATATTAACGGTAGATTGGGAAGTTATCGGACAAATCTGAGTTTAATTATTTGAGCATATTAATTTGTTTTTGTGGTTTTATAGGAAAGGCATAAACGTTCTATAAAATATAAACTTTATTATTTGAAACACAATTATTTAAAATGAGGTTAAATGCAGCTGAACAAGAATCTTTTCAAAAGCGACTCAAAATGTTTTTTGTAAACAAACCTAATATATATAAAAAAAAAAAAAGAAATTGTAAATCATTTTGAAAAGGAAGGATTTGCTTGAAGTACAATATATGATAACCTAAAAAGATTTGAAACTGTTCAACCCTTTTCTGATAGAAACCACTCTGGTCGCCCAACATCCTGGACTAGAGAAAAAAAAAGCTGAATTAATGAGACTTGTCAATGAATCGAAATAAGGGTCAGTCAGAAAAAAATAGGTTTTAAATTCAGTGTAAATCAATGGAAAAATGGTCATCAGTTAAAAAAATGAATATTAAATATAGAAAACATGAAAAGACTCCAAAATACAAAATACAAAGAAAAGAAGCAGGAAACTAGTTAACCAACTCTATAATACAAAATCGCTTCTGGTCATCAATGACGAAAAATACTTTCATTTTGCAGGGGACAACATGCCTGGAAACTACACAAATAACAAAAAAATATGCCCAGAAAGTGTTCGTTTTATAAGAAAAAAAAATTGCCAAAAAATTATTAATGTGGATTGTCATATCTGATCGTGGTATGTTCGAGACATTGTTTTGCACTTCCAAGGCTGTAGCAATTAATTCATCAATCTATATTGATGAATGTTTAGTAAAAAATGACTTCTTTCATTCATTCACAAATATCATGGAGACTTTAACTAATTATTTTGGCCAGATTTAGCAGATTTCTTATTATTTTAAAGATTCTCTAAATTAGATGGACCAATATGTCTATTACTTTGATAAAGAATCCAATCCCCTAAATGTGCCTCAAGCACAACCAATTAAAAACTTTTGGAGACATTTGGCACAGAAGGTTTATGAGGAGATTCAACAGAGCAAGTTTTGATTGAGCAAGCTTCAACAGAGCAAGTTTTGATTGATCGAACTAAATTAAAACTACAAGAAATCAATTTAAATTTTTTACAGTCATTTATAAAAGGCATCAGATTAAAATTGAGATCAATGCAGATGGTGGTGAAAAAACTTATTTTTTAAAATAAGTTATTTTTTAAATGAAAACCATTTAAAAAATAACTTATTTTAAAAAATAAGTTATTTTTTAAATGGTTTTCATTTAAAAAATAACTTATTTTTATTAAAAGATAAATGTCAACATATTCCACAATGTGTGAAAACACAGTAGTTATATATATAGTATATTATATATATATATACAGTATATATATATATATATATATATATATATATATATATATATATATATATATATATATATATATATATATATATATATATATATATATATACATTATATATATTATATATATATTATATATATTATATATATATATATTATATATATATATATATATATATATATATATATATATATATATATATATATATATATATATATATATTATATATATATATTATATATATATATATAAAATTATAGATATAAAATTTGAAAAAACATACTTAATTTAAAACTGCTTGACTTATATATATTTTTTAACTCTTTCATTAATCGATCAGTAGCTTGCACAGAACCACTTATTCTACCCTAAAATTAAATAAATTTATGTAATATTCCTGTAATTAAAAAAACTTGTAAACAACCTGATGATAGAATATAAAGATACATAACTTTTTTTTTTCCTTCATATTTTTATGTTTTACAAATTGAATGTAAGTAAAAAAATTATCTAGGAAATGTAAAAGAAAGCTTCTGATTATATATAAGTACAGTACTGATAAAAATTCTTGTCTTTGTGATATGCGCAGATTTTGCAATTGCGTAAAGCTATCCAAGCCTAGTTCTTCTTTTTCATTTTTTTCATCGCTATAACAATATTTAAATATATATCAAAAATAGTTAAATGAATAAATAATAACTGATCAAAGATAACTATAACATTAATTAATAAAATACAGTTTAAATTTTAAAAAATATTCTATTATAGTACATTTAAATACTATTCTATTATTTTAAAACAATTTTTTATTCTAAACATACGTTGTATCACATATGCTATCAACAATTTTTAACAAATAGTTGAAAAGAATATACATAGATCATTCTACTCAAATTTTAAAAATCTGTAAAATTGTTTGAAATATCCTGAAAAAATCTGAAATTTGTTTTTCCTTATTTTCTTTTTAATTTTGCTTTTAGCTAAGTTGTTTTAAATTTTTTTTGACACATTTCATAATTTTTCTAAGAGTGATTTGTGAAAAAGCTTAAAAAACCAATATATTACAAAAATATATACCTAAACTTGCATGTATTGAAAATGTTTTGAATATCTGGAAAAATTATAAGTTGAAAAAGATATCCGGAATTCCGGAAATATCTGGAAAAAGATAATCCCTGAAATATAACTAATTACAATGAAAACAAACCAATGTACCATTTGCTTTACTGTAACACTGTTTCTATTTGAAAATACAGTAATATTCATCAATGCACAATGCTTCAAGCAAACAATGTTTCCATAAGACATAGTTGTATTTGTGTCAAATATTAATTTGGAAAACTTGTTTGATATTGATTATTTAGCCTAGCCATTTGAAAATTAGATCCTAGACCCCTAACCACTTGAAAATTAGGGTTTTTAGATTTTTTTGATTTTAGGTAATAAATACTTATTGAAATTTTGAATAGATAATTAAAATTTAAAAGTAAAAAACTTTTTGATATTATTTAGCACTACATTTATTCTACTTACAGAAAGTAAAATTAAAATTTTCTTTTTTTTCTTTTTTCACTTCTATTTCTCAAAGTTTCTTTAAATGCTTGAGTGTACTTGTGTACAGGCTTGTGACAAAAAGTTTGGCTCTAGCTCTAAAAAAATGTCTGGCTTGGCTCCGGGACAAAAGTTGCAAATTTTGGAATATTTATTTTGATAACCTTTGCCTATCCAAATTTAAACCAATTATAACAATTTTTAATCAACTTTCATGTTTATGAGTTGTGGGGTAAAGCATAAGTGGCGATGTTGTTTTTCTGACGTGACAATCTAGTTATTAGTGCTTATCCTCATCGAAATGCCAGTAATAAAGAAGCATTTTCTGAGGAGATGTTTATTACTTAATCACTACACAAATTATGTTTACACATTAATGTTTTTTTTTTCCATTATTAGGCCTTACATCGTTGTATGCATACTTTTATTTTGTAGTCTATATTTTGTTTTGTATGTTTTTGTTTGGTGATATATTTGTTATATATCTTATGTTTTTATAAAAAAAAAATTATTATTATTACTTTTTTTTTTTTTTTTTTTAGTTATTGCAAGTACTGTTTGGGTGCATTGTCTTTCTTATTTTTGTCATTCTTCTATTAATCTTTATTTTTGTCTTGGCAACAGTCAAAATAAGCTTTTGTTCAAAAAATAATTCTCCTCTATTCTAATGTACTCCATTTTTCCTTCAGACTTTCACTGCTCGTGTGTGACCTTTTGGCAAACATATATGTCAAATTTTTTAAAAGATATTTTTTTCATCACTGCTTCAATAAAAACATTTTTGTATATAAACCTTCATGGTATTATTACAAGGTTTTATTACAAGGTATTACAACTACTACTCTATTACCCCATACTACATTTAAAAAGAAAAATGTTTTTGGTAAATGTACATTTATTTCTATATATTAAAAAGTTCAAATTTGACTTGTTCGAATTATATAATTACGACAGTACAAATCAATTTATTAAGAGGTATGTAGCACTTGATTATTAACTAAATATAACCGTTAAAACACATGTCATTTGATATGTAAATGAAATAAATTTTTTTTAACCAATCTTTAACTCGATTTTTAATTAATTTTTAATTGAAACTTTCAAATGACTTTAAAAACCAATAAATATAAACTATGAAAAAAATTATTTAATAAAGGAACGCTTCTTCACATGCAAACAAAAATAACTTAAAACCAGTTCTAGTATAATTTTTAAAATATGAATAACCTTTTTATCATAATATTGTGTATTAAATATTTAACAATATATAAAACATCATATGTAATTATATTAATACTCAGAGAGTGTTTCCATATATAATTTTTTTTTTCTTTTAATAAAGCATATTATAAAATGCTATTAAAATATCATTATCAATTTAATGACATTTTTAACAACCAATTTACTGTAAATGTTATTGCTTTAATCAAATTAAAGTTTGCAAAAACTTTTTTTGTCTACTTTGTTAATTATGACTCAATTCTACTGTTTTGAAACAATCTAGTGAACTAACTCTTCGACAAGGCGCATTTTTCAGTAATCAAAAAATAGTATTCTGTTGAAAACAAAATTGTTATTAATATTTTATTAATATATATATATATATATATATATATATATATATATATATATATATATATATATATATATAAATTATATAATTTAAAAAAAAATGAATATTTTAAATAAAGTGAGTAAAATTACGTTGAGTCAACCTAAGACACATAAAATTAACATAATTTAACATATTTACCTTAAAACATCTGCATCATATTCAACATGGGCATCAAAATTATCCTACAAATAAGATTATAACTATAAAATAAATTTTATAAAAATTAAAAATTATATAAAATTAAAACTTATATAAAATTAAAACTTATATAAAATTTTATATTAAGTGTAAAAGGGTATTATTGTAGCTAGTGTGGCATGAAAAAGGAGCTGTTTATATTTTGCTGAAATTAATTTGAGCTGCAGTAACACTAATCCACATCATATATTTTAATCTTCAATAGTTAGAATAGAAATGGCAACTTACCAGTTAGGTACTTTTAAATAAATTAAGGCAATAATGTGTTGAAATGGTCAGTTGGAATTTTTTTTTTTAATTAAATTCACTTTACCTAGGCTGCAGAGGCCCAGTCAAGAAGGGTACTCATTTTTAAAAAATTACAAACAAGGGTGATACACAGAGAAACAGGTTGATTTCAGTATTGAAGTTAAGAAAACAACCAAGTGATGTTTTAAAAGAGTGTATTATAGTGTTTCTGTGAAAGCAAATTTTTACTATTCAATTCTAATCACCTTCAATCACTTGAGCTAGGTAAGTTATGTGAGGTAAAAGCATAAAGAAAGACAAATGATAATACTGTAAATAAAATTAAGTTTCTTTTTAAAACTCTTCTATAGACTACACTGACAATTTTATATAATAAAATGTTTATTTATAAAAAATAATTTATCATAAAGTGTACACACATTTGTATGCTACAAATGTACATGTATGTACGTGCATATTTTGTGTAATTAATTACACATTAATAATATAAATGTGTAATTTAAACATAACGATTAAAGTTAAAGATCTTTTAATAAAGTGTATTTTTCTGGGCTAATTCAAAGTGAAGAGAAAATTATGCCACATAAATTTTAAACATTTTTTAACAGGATTCGCATAAACATCAATATAAAACTTTCTTGTAAGATTTTATGGAGGTACACCTTTTCATAATAAATCATCAAAGGTAAATGCTTTGATGTAGTTAATGTGACCAAGCATGACCAACCAACCATGACATTTGAATGAATTTTAATTTTAAATAGAATTATTTATTTAAAGCTGCATTAAAATTCATTTGACTATTAAAGAAACTTTTGATAAATTATAAATACATCATAATATATCTGTATCTCAAATTTTAACCAGAAGAAAAGGCAAAAATTAATTTAAAACTTTTAAATAGCCATTTTGAAATAATTTAAAATAAATAAATCAAAAACATTCTGTAAAAACAAACACAAATTAATTACATCTTCGTCTATAACATGCATTGTGTCTTCGTCCTCCACAAATTCTTCCATGGTTATAGGCTCATCCTAAAATGAGTAAATATATGATACATATCATATTTAAAAGAAGTATAATATATAGGTATGTAAGGAATATATAATATATAAGTAATATAATATAATATATAAGTATATAATAAGTAATACGAAGAAAACAGAACAGCCTTATATCAGAATAGTATTTATTTGATTTGTTTTTTTTTGTAAAATTAAAATGCTTGAACCTGCTTTTTTTGTTAGTAAAATGCTTTTTTTTTTTGCTTTGATACATTTTTCTCCCTCAGAAACATTTTTTTGACATAAAGCAATTTTAGGTGACTAGTAAAAGTATAATTTATTTATGAAGGATTAATTTCAGTATACTTTACAATACTTTTGGAAAACTAATGACAGTATACTTTACAATACTTTTGAACGACTAATGACAACATACTTTACAATACTTTTGGAGGATTAATGTTAGCATACTTTACAATAGTTTTGGACAACTACTGATAACAAAAATGCATTCAACACAGTTTTAAAAACAGTGTTGAATGCATTTTTGTTATCAGTAGTCGTCCAAAGCTACTGTAAAGTATGCTGTCATTAGTCGTCTAAAAGTATTGTAAAGTATCTTGTCATTAGTCGCTCAAAAGTATTGTAAAGTATACTGTCATTAGTTTTGCAAAAGTATCGTAAAGTATACTGTCATTAATCCTTCACAAGTAAAGTATACTTTTACTAGTCACCCAAAATTGCTTTATGTCAAAAAAATGTAACAGTTGTATATGTAATTTATTTTAAAATCAAAAGTTTAAAAAACAGTTAACAAATTACATCAAGTCAGCATTAATAAAATGAATGCACCTTATACTTCTTACTTTCCCTGTCTGAGCAGACATGTTACACATAGGTAGACATGTAACATTACTGTGTTAAAGAGGGTCAAAGATGCCTATACAAAATGTGTAAAAAATTTTTCTGGCTGTAAGCGTTAAGGTAGTGTTACAATTATATTTTTTGAACTTTGTTTACCAACATATGATACTGTTTTTCACAATTCAAACTCTCGATTTAGAACTTTAATCCTAATGGATGACAATACATTAGTTAAAAGTTGCTTAAGCTACTCTTAAATCATTTTTAGGAAGTTTGTACTTAATTTAGTTAGTTGTACTTGTTCTTTCTATGGACCTATGTGATCTGAAATAAATTAATAATAATAAAAATAGTATATTGTTACCATGGTATAATGTAACCACGTTAACGTCAAATAAACTAATCAAAAAGAAAAGAATAAGATAATTAAATAAATCAAGATTAATATATACTTTTTTATTGAGTCTTATTTTAAAATAAAAACTTCAAACTCAATTTTATATGAGAAAAAAAATATGTAAACTGAACTTTCTTTACATATAGGAACTACAAATACATCTAAAGAATACTTCTTTTTACTAGTTGTAGCTATTTAATCATAAGTTCTGGTATTGAGTAGTTAAAGGCTAAAGTTATATTTAAAACTTGTGTCATGTTAGAGTACCCAACAGTATAGAGTTTTTTTAGAACTTGACAAGTCTTCAAAAAAGTAAAAAGTTTAGCAAAATAACTATTAGAATGACAAATAATTCATAAGTACCAGGGTGATGACTAAAAAAAAGCAGCTTTTCTTTTTAAAAAAACAATTTTATAAAAATAAAGCTGGTATTTAAAATGTTTGACTGTCATCATATATTTTTACATATTTATATATATACATATATATATTATAATACATATATTTTACATATATATATATATATATATATATATATATATATATATATATATATATATATATATATATATATATATATATATATATATACAGGCCTTGTTTTAAAGCGTTACGCCTAGAGCAATTTAAGTACGCCTTAAGCGCTTTTTACATACGCGTAGAGCTGTTTTGGTTAAGCTACTTTTTATCATTTTTTAACTTTTAAATTAGCGGTAACATAAAAGAAGTAATTAATTTTCAAAAAAACCACATTAACTTTTAAATAACGATATGTAAAGATGATTATTAAAAAAAAGAATTTACTTTAAAAATAATTGTTGTAACTTTTCATTGCGGTATATCTTTCCGTTTTATAGCAATTAATTTGACGCTAAACTTTTTATCCAAATATTTAGCAACATGAAAAATTGTTTGTCAATCCTTAACTACAAATTTTTTGCAATGTTTTTAATAAAAAGTAGTAATTTTTTAAAGTTTTTTAGTAAAAAACTTTTAAAAAATCTATATTCCATATTTATTAATACAGAATATAAAAATTTTTGTAATATAGATTTTTTATGAATTTTTTACTGAATTTATAATAAAAAACATTTGCAAAAAAACTTGTAATTAAGAATTGACATTTTTTTTTATTAAATCTCAAAAAATGTCTTAATATTTTTGTTATCATGATAACAAAAATATCAAGACATTTTTTCGAGATGTTAAAAAAAATGTCTTTGCTTTTCTTATTAGTTAAAGGTATATAGTTTAAGTTATGCGGAGGGAGGGGGTCGGCACATTAAAAAAAAATTACCTGTTACTTGCAATATTTGAATGAAGACAATTTGTTAAAATTCTTCTGCGTGCGATTCAATAAGTTTTTTTTTTTCATAAATCAAGTTATATTACAAGGTAAAGAAATCATGAGTAGACTACAACATCCGCTGATGACACTAATATTTCGTTGAATATATTTACATAACGGAGGTTTTATTATGCAGGCGCACATTACAGGTTCCGTTAAATAAATACTAAGGCACGTTTTAGTTTAATGACAGTCTCCATTTTTTACTAATGAATATGTATTTTTCTTTATAAAACAAAACAAACTAGTGTATAAAAACCTTGTATATTTCTATTATCTCTAAATTGTTTAAAGTTCGAATATGAATTGTATTTTGAAGGACAAAAGATTTACTTTAAAAACTTTTTAATCTTGGGACTTTACTGATGCTTTGGCGATGCGATGATCACAGAAAATAAGAAGACTTACGTTATTAAAATCAAATGTAAGTTATGTGATCTTCATCAAAATAAAATAATATCCAAAAGCAATAGTGCCGTAAGGGCAACTGCTTAACGGTTTATAAATAATACAAGTCATGTTAAAATATTTTAACATGTTACTATATTTTAATTAAGTTGATATATAATTAAAAATAAAAATATAGTTCAATAAATAAATTAAATTTATTCTTAACAAAGATTACCTCATATTTATTCTTTTTTTATTATTATTAAGTTAAATTGCTTACAAACGAAAAAAAAAAGAGTTTTGTAATTATACGTAGAATGAAAATACTTTTGAGTTTGTTTATAAGTTAAGGAACTTAATTTTTAATAAACAAATTTTTACGAAAGTTTATTATAAACAGATACGATTCAAATTATTAAATATACTTAAATTATTTTAGCTGAGTATTTTTTTAAGTTTGCACGATTAAAGTTTGGCGTAATAGTATTTGTTTTTTTGTTTTAAGAATAATTAACAAAAGAGTTTGCATAATTAAGTCTTTTATATTTAATTTAATTTTTTTTTTTAATTTCCTAAAATTAAAAAAAAAAAAAGATTTAATCGTTGAAAACGATTTTTCTCTATAGCTCTGTTTCTTTGTGATTTGTTTAAAAAGTTAAATATTTTTACAATAACATAAAAAATTTATGAATTAAATTCCTAGCAAACGCGTTCTAAACTACGTATCAAAAATATGCTCAAAGCAGACTAAACTTTTTTATATTTTTATAAAACGCTTTTAAAAATTTTTTAAATATTTAAAAACTTAAATTTTTCTTTGCTAGTCAAAACAAAATCGTTGTTTAAATAATTAACATGGGTTTGTGTTTATCAATGTTAATATTTTTTGTTTACTCTAGAAATTTTTAAAAATAAAAAAAAATCATTATTATTTTTTATTCAATAACAATTAAAAACAATTATTCAAAAACAAATTTCAGAAATAATTTATATATATATATATATATATATATATATATATATATATATATATATATATATATATATATATATATATATATATATATATATATATATATATATATATATATATATATATTACTAAATAATATTGAACTAAAATTAACAATAAAATAACAATTGAAAACATTACAAAATTTTCATAATAAATTTATATTTAAAACGTTTATAGTTTATATTTGAGTTAATTGTTAAATTGAACTAGTTTGCGGTTATTTATTTATTGCGGTAGTTAAAACACTTAACGTCTATAAAAAAAAATAAAGATAATTTTATGACGTCAAAATCGCGTTAAGCTAATGCATTAAGCACTTTTTTATTTAAAACAAGACCTGATATATATATATTGTAATATTCATACTTATAAGCTTACACTAATATATCATTGTGCATAAAGAACAAGCAATTGCAGGATATTTAATTTTTTTTTAAATAAAACCAAGTTAACAAAAAGAAATATCAAAAAAGTATAAAAGCGATCAGTACAAATAAATATCCTAAAGTAAAGTATTTAAATAATCTGCTTCGTAATTCAATAAACTGAGAGAAGCTTACATTTTCTCAGACATTTTGACTCAATATGTAATTATGAAAATTATAAAATTATAAAAATTTGCTTTTTAAAAAAATAATAATTAGCAAGAACAATTAATTTACTAATATCAAGATATTTATTTTTTATTTTATAATATACTCTATATTTAATATAAATATATTGATTATATGAAATATTCATAAACAAATTTTTTTTTCAAGTTTTGCCATTTTATCTACTGCCATATTTTCCATAAAATTATTGTCAAATTAAATTAAACAAGAGAAAAAAAATTTCAATATAAAAACTTAATTACGGTAGTGGTATAGTGCTTGCTTTATAAGCCAAAGGTTCAGAGTTTGATCCCAGCCATTTCCCTAGTAGCACTGTGCTCAACTTGCTTCTCCATGCAGTGGCCTTGTTTGTCAAGATTCATGTTTCGGAGTTATAGAGTTTTTTTTTTTCTTTTTCTTTAACATCTTCGCTTCCAACAAGGCTACAAGCAACCAATATTTAGTGTTGGAAAGCGAAAAGATGAAGATTGTAGAGCAAGATAACGATTGAGAGACAACTTAAAAGATTGCAAATTATATGAATCAGGAAAGCAAGATGAAGAAAGCGAATTCCCAAGAACATATGCTCGAGGAAAAAACTAGATGAATAAGAGCTTTTGAAGCACTTAGGAACAGTCACAGAAAAAGGATGAGACTTAATTGAATAACGAGGAACATGAAAATGAATTTTAGTAGATGGCACAAGAGACGCTAGCTCTTTAGAGCAGTGTCCATTTATAGTACTTATAGAAAGAAAAAAAAGAGAAGCAACATTACGACAATCTGATAATGGTTGGAGGTTAACTGCAAGAGCAGGTCCAACTATGTTTACAACGCACTTTTGCACCTTGTATAATAGAGAAAGGACATTATTAGAAGATCCACCCCAGATATGGCAACAGTATTTCATACAAAGACAGATTTGAGATTTATAGAGATAAAGAATAGAATCCAGAGTAATAAAGTGTCGAGCACGATAAAGAGATGCAACTTTAGCAGACGCTAATTTTGCTATGGATTTGATATATGGTTTCCAAGAAAGATCAGAAGAGTTAATCCTAGAAGATGAAGGGTAGATGACTCATCGAGTCATCTACTATCACCAAATATAAATATAGGAAGATCTAAATTATTGCAATAACAATTGGCTGAAAGATATCAGGTTTTATCTGAATTAAGTTCACCGGCCACTGAGAGCCCTATTATGTAGCAGAAGCCAACACTCAGAGAGTGTTGGCTTCTTATCAAGACAAGAATAAATAGTTGCATCATCAGCAAACAATGCCGTCTTAGATGTGAGAATATCTTGAAGATTTTAATGTAAATTAAAAAGAGTAAAGGGCCAAGGATTGAACCTAGAGGAACCCCTGAAGTTACAGAATATGAAGAGTGCTGTCCATCGAGGATAACTTTTATACTACAATCGGAAAGGAAGGATTCAATAATCTTAAAGATGTTATCAGACACAGTAAGAAGAAAGCTTATGGAGAAGACCAACATGCCAAACTTTATCAAAAGCTTTAGAAATGTCAAGAGCTATAGCCTTAACCTCTTCACCTTTATCTAATGCACGATAAAACCTATCAGTTATTACTGTTAGCAAATCAGCTGCAATACGAGAATGAGAGAGGGTTGTAATCAAAATTAAGTAGCCTCCTCATCTGTAGTGGCCTATTCAGCCGTGGGTAAATTTAAAAAAAAAATCATTTATTAGATTAAAAACTTCCCTAACAAGAGAAACTTTGTGCATCAAAATATAACTTTTTTAACTAAACAGAAGGCATTACTAGAAAATATTTATAAAAATTTATATATAATTCATTAAGTACACAATAGTTATATATAATTAATAAGTAACCAATACAGTGGTGTACCCTTCCGTTTTTTCCCAGTCGCGCTGCGGGTGACAGAAACAGTTTTTATTTCTCATTTGAGTTGTCCACTATGGTAATCAATAGTCCAGTGTAAAAAAAAAAATTTTTTGTATTTTTTCTCAGATGAAACTAATGATATTTTTAAAATTTCAGTTTATGCAAAGCCGTGTACTTTATTTTTAAGGAGCAAACTATTATAAATTTGTTTGGGAAAAAGCTTTAAAAAACAAAACAAAAAACTTATGACTGCAAAAGTAGCAACACTCTTGTCACTAACTGCATTGTAGAAGTAATAAAATTATAATAGCGTTATTGCTTTTATAAAGAACTTATAACATTAAAAGTTCATTCTTTGTTCAAACAACATTAGTAATTCCAAACTTTGATAAAAGTAAATAAGCATTTAGAAAATATAAAGTGGATATTCAAGAATTATTAAAAACTTGAGGAACTTTTACAAATACTTAAACAACTTTATAAAAACGTACTTTATAAAAAGTTTGGGTTTATAAAAAACCTTACTAATGGTCTGTAAAAATGCGCATTAACTTTAAAATCAACCAATAAAAAGTTTTTATTAGTTAATTTTAAAATTAACGTGCGTTTTTACAGATCATTAGTAACGTTTTTCATAATGCTAAACTATTTATACAGTCTGGTTTTATCAATGATATATAAATACGTTTCATTGGGTTTTATAAAGTTGTTTAGTTTCTTAATAAGTTTTAAATATTATTTGAATATCCACCTTATTTTTCTAGATGCTTTCTAGTTCAATTTAAAATACATTTTTATTTATAAACACACTCTTATAAGTAACAAACTGTCTGGTCGTCCTGCCGGGCTACTGACAGACATTTTTTAAAAATTTTAGTTGCCCTTGGAGAAAACGAGTCATCCCATGCCACCAAACGACCATGAGGGTACACCACTGCAATACAATCAACCTTGGATTTTTCTATAAGCAAAAGAAACGCAAGCTTAGGGCAGCAGACCAAAAGGAGCAGCGTAGGTTGGATTTTTATTTTTTACTACTTTTTTAAACCAAATAGTTCAAAACCCTACATTCTACTCTATGAAATATTAAACACTACTTTAAATCTCACCATTTAATCCAGGTTATAATGTAAATTATGCAAGGTCTCATCTGCATCACATTTACTACCATTCTTGAAAGAACTGCTGTCAGAAAAAAAACATGAATTCTTGATTAAATACATATTGTTGATATAACACTGTCAGCATTGACAATACCATAAAAAGTCAGTTTTACAGAGACTGCCTGCTAGCATACTTCACCACCAGACAAGGTCAAAGACTACAGCATTTGATAGACAGAAAAAGGAGGAGTATGAGTATTTGGAACGTGTGCTGGAGCAAGTCATTGTTGTTATCTGTACACTGGCTGAACATGGTTTTAGTGTTCCAAAGAGAAGTTTGGTTCTTACAAAAATGAGAATTACTTGGGTCTTTATATATTCCAGTACTTGTATTTCAGTTTAATCCATTCAAAGCAGATTATATTTCTAAGTATGGTGATTTTGAAAAAGGAAATCCTATCTTTCAAAGATAGTTTGAGAGAAACTTATCAAGCTAATGGCTGAAACAATTCATTCAAGCATTATCAACAAAGTCAGCTACATCAGTCTTTCTGTTGATTCAACTCCAGACCTGTCACATGTGGAACAGTTATCTGTTGTTGCACGGTACAGTAAAAATGGTCAACCACTAGAATGGTTTTTAGCATTCTTAGAACTGAAAGGACATTTAGGGGAAGCATTGGATAATCAAGTTTCGGAATTCTTGTGTTATGTCTGCAAAATAAATTTTAGTAAGTGCAAGGATCAATCACATGACAATGCAGTTAGTGTAAAGACACTACAAAAAAACACAGCAAAAGATTATGGAAAAAATTTACTATCTATGCTTCTTCTGCAGCGTACTCTTTGAACTTGGATGGTCTTAGTCCAACTGACTGTTGTACAAATTCAACAAACTCTAAATGATTTGGAGAACGTTTTCAATGATGAAAAAGAAAATGGTGGCTCAAGAGAGAAGCAGAAACCATTGCTAACAAAATGCATGAGTTAGAATTTGTATTCATGCTCATTATGAAGGATAAAATACTATAGAATTTTCATAGAAAAACCAGAAGGATGTCAATCTTAAAACGTGTGCAGACCAGTTTATATCACTAACAAACAAACTACGCAAACATGTGACTGGAATTTGAAAGGATTGAGAAACTTTTAAAAGGCGTGCTCCACAAGGACTATAAGGAAAGTGCATCAGGAGGAAACAACCAAACGATAGAGATGTACAGGAAGTTGATCTGTATTAACAAGACAAATTAGAGTGTCAGCATTTTATGTCATTAAGAATAAATGAGGCAATATTACAGAGAGATTTTCATTTCTCAGATTCAAAGTTCAAAGTTCAAGTTCTCATGATTTTTATGTTGAATGCACTAAGAACATAATTGAATTTGACCCAGATGACCTAGACAACGACTTTGCAGCTGAGTTGTACCAGTTTCATATGTACCAGTTTCATATGAACCAGTTTCATATATACTCAATTTAAAGATTTAATTAAGGACTTTGCAAAAAAAAAGACCAGAAGTAAACTATAATTAATTAATAATTTTAAGTTTCTTCCAGCTGTCAGTTCATAAGATTGGTTTAGGACACCAGTAACTACAAATGCAGCTTAAAAACTCATTTTTTTTCATAATACCACAAGCAGGGGACCTTGCAGGGGGAGCATACAGTGCACTCCAGAGTACCTAGTTGGAAAAGGGTTAAGCCACCCCCTACCCTTAAAATCTTTGATGAGGTATTCCAGATAGGAATATCTCATTGGTCCTTTTGGGGCCTTTTCTTTAACCCCTCCTCCCCCCCCCCAAAAAAAATTTCCATTAGACTATATGTTTAGGGTAGCACAGTACCTTAATCCGGCCGTGAATGCAATACTATAAGTATTCAATATTTTAAACTTAAATTTAATGAAACACTTCTCAATCTTAGTGTAGCATTATGTCATTAAAAGAATTTATTGTTAACTTTTTTTTAAATTAAGACATAAAAACTATATTTTATATTTTGAAAAACTTCAAAGTATCTAAAAATCTAGAAAAAAAGATTTATAAAGCATTTAATACCAATTCATCTGGAAGTTTTACATCTTTTAATGTTGCAGGAATTTCAAGATTGTTTAATTTGTATAATTCAACAGCTAAAGTTGTCGTCATGAAAACTAAAAGATTTTTCTTTGCTGATAATGTGTTAATATATTCTATTATACCAGAAAGTTTGTGATCTTCTGATTCAGAAAACCAAATAGGAGCAACATCTGGATACATTCCCTAAAAATGAAGTATTTAGTTATATGTAAAAAGTTATAAATAACAATTATATATTATTATTTTGTGTTTCATTTTTTTAACACAAACTTTATTTACCTTCCCAAGGAACAGTCAAAGAGTATACTCAAATAATAATTAAACATTTTTTTAAAATTTATTTAACCATAAAATTGAAAAAAATTACAAATTTATTTATAATTTTACTAATTAGGTTAGTTAAAAACTAGTCATTAGAGTGACACCTTCATAAAATAAACAAATAAAACAAAAAAACAAAAAACAACCAAAAAAATAAAAACCATGCACAAAATTACACGACAATATCAGGCCTTGTGATGAATAAGAACTGCGCGACGCATAAGCACGACGTGATTTTTGACGTCATTAAATTCTTTTTATTTGCTTTTCATATTTATCGACATTAACTGCACCAATTTACTTAATTACCGCAAAACTACTTTAAATCGTTTATGTAGAAATGTTATTATTTAAAAATATTTTAGAATGTTTCGTTTTTTAAAATGTAAAAACATTTGTTTATTTTCTCGACGTTTGTCACGTTTTGTCTATACTAAACGAATAAAAAACATTATAACTTAAATTTAAAAAAGATTATAAAATATGCTAATATTTGATTTTTTTTTTTCTTAAATATGTAATTTAAAGTTTTTCAAATAATTATTTTTTCTTTTTAAAAAGTCAGCGAGTAATAAACTGGAAATTTTAATATTGTACGATTAAAAACTGTGCAATAGCTAATATTTTTACAAGCGATTTTATATAATATTTATTTATTTTTATTTATTTTCATAAAGCGGTTGATAAGCACAATCACTCGTATTAATAAAAAACTTAAACGAACGTTTTGAATAGATTTTTAATGTTAACAAGGAATTTTATTTCAAGTAATATAAAATAAAATGTTAGAATAAAAATCTTATAGGTATAAAAGAAATATTTCAGCGAAAAAATTATTCTTAAAAATTATTATTAAAAATTATTCGAAAAACTATTGACGTTTTATTTTTCAGCAGCTGTTCTTAAGCACGCTTCGTTGAGTTTCGGTAACTTTTAACATAAAAGCGATCGTTATTATTTAAGTAATTTTTTTGAGTTACTTTTTACAAAAATTTTAATAACTGTACTTTTTTATTGAACCAAGTAGAATACGTTTTAATATTAATCCTTTTTTTTTTTTTAATTTGCGCTCACCAATTTTTAAAATGTTTCCTCGAAATTACTATTAAATACTTTAAATACGTCTAACAGTTAATAAATATTTTTAAATCTTTTTTTTTAAAACCTAACAAACCCCCGTAAAATAATTATTTAAGTTTAAAATCTAAAACTAAAAGAAAGTATTTTTGTTCAATTTTATCGACAACTTTGCTATTGCTGAATAATTTTATTAAAATGTTAGCTTAAAAGATTTATAATTTTTTTTTAATCTGAATTTTTTCTTTTTCTTCTTCTAATAATGAGCATATTTAATTTTTTTTTAATTCAAACCTTTATTTCAACTGCGTGCGGTTTTTAAAATACTTTATTAAATGTTAAAATAATCGTAAATTACTTCATTAAAATTCCGCTAAAAAATATCTTAAAATATACTCAAACAAAAAATTTTTTGCTCGACGCAAATAGCCCTAGCTACACGCAAAATCGCTCTTGGACGACGTAAAATTCACATCGCCTGACGCTTTATCGCAAGGCCTGCAATATAAACAAAACAAAAAATATATATATATATAAGAATCTAAACAAGTTGGTTTTTTTTGTTAAAACTTATAATAACTTAACTTCATGTATTTAAAGTATATATTTATATATATAAATATATATACAGGGGTGGGACCGCAAAATGTGAACACTTTTCTGATTGTAATAATTAATTTTCTGTTAAATATGAACTATTTTAAATAAGAATGTCGAATGGTTGGACATTCTTATTTAAAATAGTTCATATTTAACAACTCTTTAGACACTTTCTGATGAGTGAGAGAGTACAACTACATCTAACGAGAAAATAGTTATAATAAAACAAAAACGTTCACATTTTGCGGTCCCACCCCTGTATATTTATATATATATATATATATATATATATATATATATATATATATATATATATATATATATATATATATATATATATATATATATATATATATATATATATATATATATATATATATATATATATATATATATATATATATATATATATATAGGCTTGGCTGGGAAGCGGGAGCAATCGCTCTCGATTGCTGACCAAATAATGACGTAAATAATATTTAGTTACAAAAAGCTGGCCAGATTTTTTGTCGTTTTGAGAACATTTTAAAAAGCAAAAAAAAAGCGCAAAAGATTAATTGGACCGATGAGAAACATTTACAAAAAAAAAAAAAAAAAAATTAGGCAAATAACATATCTTTAGACGCGAAAAAACTTAAAGCTAAATAAATTACGTTTAGAACAAATATTTTCGAAACATCGCTTTTTTGTAATTTTTTTTATAAAATTAAGCGATGTTTTTTATATAAAGTAACAACTTGCGATTGTTTAAAAAAGAAACAAATGCTCTTTATTTAGCAAAGTTAGCAAGTTTTAATTTTATTTAAGCTAAATTATTTTATAAATAAAAAAGTTAATTTTTTCAATACCTATTTTATGTTTTGCGTAGTTTGAAAAGTTTAACAGATTTGAAGCAATTCTTCTTAGTAAGATAAACAAATGAAATAATTAAATCATTGAATTACTATAGAAATTAAATTAACAAGATAGAAATCAACTAAAAAGGTTAAAAATACTTTATGACGAGGAAGCGAAACTGTTTCACAATATCGCTGATGATGTTTAGATAGTGGGCTTTTTAATTTTAATTTAAAATTAAAAAGCCCACTAACTAAACATCATCACTTTTTAAAGTATTTAAAGCAGAAAAAAGTATAACAAGTTTCAAGGATGGCAACTTAAGCGAAAATAATTAGAATTGGTAAACCAATATATAGAAACTTTTCTTTATATCTATTTATTTGCTATATATATATTTGTGTTCTGTTGTGACCTTAGGCGCAGTGCTTGTTCATCCGCGAGTTACTTTGTATGCGTTGTTTGTGTTTAATAACCAGAAACTTCTTATGTTTGTTATATAATTAGTTTTATTAACTATAACGATTATAACTTCATTGAAAACGCAATTATTTTTTTAAGTCTTTGTTTAAATCATAAAAATTGCTTTAAAAGATACATTACGATAAAAAACAGATACACAAAATTACATTTACATAAAGAATACATACTTTTTAAATAAAAAATAAGAATATACTAATAAAATCTATAATTTATAATAAACTTTTGAAATTTTGACAAATTAATATATATTTAAAATATTTATTTTTGTAAACAAATAATATATATTTTTAAAACAAGAAAACTAGAAATCTCAAAACGTAACAAATCGTGAATATGACAATTTCTAAAACATTTCAACAGGATACTCTAAAACTTTTTTTCGCTAAGTAAGCGTATTTTTCGAACTAATAGAATTAGTTTCTTCGTTAATTTGGCGGGTTTTTAGTATTCGCGAATATTTTTTTTATTCTTTCGCACAAAGATGTTCTGAGAACAAGTTTATTATGTTTCCATGTATGTCCATAAAACAAAAATTTTTTGTTTCGTACATACACTTAAATGTTCTCAAAACGACTAAAAAACCTGGCCAGTTTTTCGCAACTAAATATAATTTCCGTGGTCAGTATTTGAGAGCGATCGCTCCCGCTTCCCGACCAAGCCTGTATATATATATATATATATATATATATATATATTTATATATATATATATATATATATATATATATATATATATATATATATATATATATATATATATATATATATATATATATATATATATATGTATATATATATATATATATATATATATATATATATATATATATATATATATATATATATATATATATATATATATATATATATATATATATATATATATATATATATATATATATATATATATATATATATATTGGGCCTATTTTAGTTAAAAAATTTAGGCGGTGGTTCTTACCTGGCCCAGAGAAATTTAGTGGAAAATCTGCATTTTTTAGCAAAAAAAAAACAATATTTGCCATAAAAGACGTAAAAAAAAAAAAGGTCCTCAAATTTGAATTTGGACGGTGTAAAATACGGTCGACGCTGTCAAAAATGATCTAGAATGGCCCCTGATATGTGTAACATTGTTTGATTGTAAATATTTATTTAATGAGCAGAAAAAGAAAAAATGTTTTAGTATACTTTAAATACATGAAAAAGTTAAGTTATTATAAGTTTATCACAAGGTTCTTCACTGATATATATATCTCTCTATATATATATATTAGTGATGTAAATTTTCCAGTAAAATTTGATTCAAAATTTACCGGTAAAATTTACTGGTAAATTTTAATTAGAGAACGGTAAATTTTCCTTTAAAAAATTTAAAAAAAAAAAAAATTTAGTGAAAAAAAATTTTTAAACTTACCAGGTGGTAAATTTTTAAAATTTTCCGGTAAACTTTACCTTCGCAACACTAATATCTCTCTCTCTCTCTCTCTCTCTCTATATATATATATATATATATATATATATATATATATATATATATATATATATATATATATATATATATCAGTGAAGAACCTTGAGTTTATTAGGGGATACCATTTTTTTCAGCAACATTGAGGGGGGGGGGGGGGAGAATTATGTCCAGTTAATAACCGAAGGCAAATTATATCATGTAGTTATGTAAAAAAGCAATTTCTTTTTAATTCTTTTTATTTTCCTGAAGAAAAAATGAGGTAGCTAAATTAAACTGAGAATTATTTATATACTAATGCATGTAAAACTAAAAAAAAAATTTTTTTCTAATTTTCATAAAAAATCAAAAGAATAGTTAAAAATATAAATAATTTTTGGGCACTTTTTTTTGGCGCCCATACCGGTAAAACGGTACTAAAACACGTCTGGGTTCTTCACTGTGTATATATATATATATATATATATATATAAAATTCTGATTCACCCCCAACAAGTCTGCAAGCAGCCACTATTAAAATGGGAGTTACTAGAAAAAACAGTTGACAGAAGACTTAAAAAATTGAAGCTTGAATAAATCAGGAAAACATGAAGATTAGAGAGAGTTCCAAAGGGTTGAAGTGCGAAAAAAAAAACTAGACAAATAAAAGTTTTTAGAGCATCCAGAGACAGATACAGTAAAAGAATGAGACTTTGCTGAATGACAAGTCAAGTGAGAAGGCGTTTTAATGAATGGAAATGATAGCAATTTTGAACAGGTACCATGATAGTATTTGTAGAAAGAGGCTCAGGCTTAGCAGATAAAGCAGGTCTAACTACATTTACAATACATATTTGGACCTTGTCTAGAAGAGAAAGAACATCATTAGAAGAACCAGCTCAAATATAACAACAGTATTCCATAAAGTGATGAATAAGAGATTTGCTGAGGTAAAGAATAGAATCAGGAGGGAGAAAATGGTGAGCATGATAAAAAGAAGCAGCCTTAGTAGATGCTAATTTAGCAACCTATTGTATATATGGTTACCATAAAAGGTCAGTAGTAAACAATAATCCAAGAAAAAATAAGGAAGAGGGATCAGTGAGATGGTTGCCATTCATTAATATAGGAATGTCAACAGTATTGCAACAGTTGTTGCCGTAAATAACTTAGTTTTGTTGGAGTTAAAATTAACAAGCCACTGTGAACCCCAATCTATTACAGAAGTGAGATATTAACATGTACAATATCATTTTTTATTTATCTGTCTTTAAACTAATAAAACGATTTAAGAAAACATTTTTGAATAGATTTAATTGCTCATGCTAAGTTGGTTTCTTAATTTTACTTCATTAAGATTAATTTTATTTGTAATAAAGAGTTTCTTTTTTTGAAAATTCAATTACAAGTCCAAAATCATTGTTTTTTGTTGTATTAATAAATTTCTTATTTTTATACCAAAATCTAATTTTTTAAACCAACACCAGTTTTTAGCTTAGAATACTTATAACAATTTATTAATTAAATAAACATTGTAATCACTTCTACATGACTATTGGTTTGTATCATTTAAAATCTTTTACAGTGGAAAACTCTTTTAATCACTTTGGAGATAGCTTTGACCTTACTTTCATTATATGTTATTATGTTTCACAAAGTAATTCACCTAATCTTACTATTATTGTCTTTGAGTCTTTAACTAACAACTTATGATTATTTCATCTTGAGTCGCTCAAAGAAATAAATTTAAACCCTCTTGTTTTATTGTTGACTTGTTGTAACAGAAAGATTCTTTCATACATTATATGGAATTAGTGATTGGCTATTGCTCTTGACATATCAAATGCCTTTAATAATTTTTAACATGCTATATAAATGAGGACCTAGAAGTCAAAGAGTCTCACTGACACTTTTGAAAAAAAAACCTGCTTTCACAGGTTATCTAGTGTGGTGCCCCTTAACCACTTAGCCACTATACTAAATTATAGTTAACAAAAGTTAGAAAAAACAAACTCAAACTTGGAACACTAGAGAGATAGAGAAATCTAAGTGCAAATCATTATTTTTCAGCTAAAAAACTATAACCAAAAATTATTTTAAAAATGTTATTCCAAACAATAACAAAACAATAAAAATATATAACTAAGGATTTCTTTATAAGTGACACTCACACAGAAATCTAACTAGAAGACTGTCATCTAATATTAACCTTATTTTACAAATAAGGAATATTTTAAAAAGTAAATAGTATTGGTCATGTACTATTTTTTATTTTTTTACTTTTTATACTTAAATCACCTTTTTTTCTATATATATTTTCTGAAAAATTTGTCTAATCTCAAGACATATAACTAGAGAATGAAATTCACAATAATACATATGTAATACTTTAGTACAAAGCAATTAATAACTAACTTTACTTTGTATTAGTCCTTGGCAACTTTCAGATGCTTTAGTAAAGGATCAATTTAACTTATTTACTTATATAAGTTTAATATAAAAACTCAATGTCTTTGGATATATAAATATAAATTTTAAAATATAAAGAAAAGAAATGAAATTGACGTTCAAAAAAACTTTAATGAATAAATTTAATAAATTGTATAATAAATTAAATTTTCTGTCTATTCATTTATAACCATTAAATTTTTGGTTAGCTAGGAGATAACTGCAATTAATTTGTATTTATTTTCTGAAATTAACTGTGAAATTGTAATATAGTTATTCTGTGTAAAAATTTCAAAATATTCATAGACAATCATCCAACAATTACCCAACCAATTAATGATTTGATATAAATCAATATATAAAGTCAACCATGCAAAACTATTCTAAGTTTAACATAAAAACTATAGTTAGAATTAGAGATTTTTAACTATCCAATTTAATAATATTATTAGCATCTTTCCAACATTTTTAGAAAAGAATCGAAAAAAAACAAACTCTTTTTTAAATGAAGGTAAAAATTTTAATGAAGAAAATAATATAAATTAAAATATTTTATTTTTATTTTATAAACTGTAAAAAATAAACTACACATACAGCAATACTGCATGATATATCATGTACTTTATTGTCTATACCAATGTACGATAAAGATATGTCATCTACGTTTGCTGTTTTGATGCACAAAACATTATGTTCTTTAGAGAAGATTTCTTTTAAATACTTTATTTCTTTTCTTAGCACTTTAAGTCTTGAAGTCATATTAATGTCTATATAAACAAAATCCTCAACAGTTCGATTTTTTTCAATTGTTACTTATTTTGTATTCGTGATCTAACAAAAACTGACATTCTACCAAAATTTGTAGAAGAATATAAATTAGGAAAATATAAGTTTAAGGTAATTGTACAACATCTAATGTTGACTAATTTAGTCAAAAGATAAATTAGCTCGCATAATTCAAAAACAATCTTTCACAGGAAACGAGTAACTAAATAGTCACTAGAGGTCAGCATTTTTATTAGCTTTTTACAAAGCAGTTTTAAAAAACTAACGAGAAATGAAATTCGCAATTCCGAGAAAAGCAAAACTATGCTAAACGCTTTAAATCGATAAAATTCAATTTCAAGATTAAATTTATATTAAATATATTCTGAAACGAGTTGAAAAATTTAAAGGACTTATACAAAGATTAAAATTTTAAACCTAAAGTAAAAAGCTACATTACAATACGAATAACAACAGTAATATTATTAATAACTGTAACAATAGATATTATAATAGACAATTGCAATAAAAATAATATTGTAGGCTTATAGTTGAACATTTTAATACTGATAAAGAAAATTACAATTATTTCGTTTAATTCGAAAAAAAAATTTCCTGCACCCAAACAACTGATGACATGGTGGATGCCATATATTACCAAACATAATTATAAATAAAACCAAACATAGATTATAAAGCAAACAAATTGATTTCAAATAACATTGCCAGCGTTTCTTTACAAAAATATATTAATAAAAAAATTTCTTTACATCTTTTAAACGCAAGTTTTGCAAATAAATTTCATGATTTTTATTTATATCCCGAGGCAACCAAATTTGCGTTTGTAAAACATTTTTCAATAATAAAATTTCTAACGTTATTTTGTGTCCAAAAAATTACTCAATTTATCGCAAGGATCGAGCTAAAATTGGCGGTGGAGTTGCAATTACCTGTAGAAACGACATTAATTATTGATATATCAATACCTGTTTGTGTAATCTGTACTTAAACTCCGTCTAATAAAATGCTATCGTCCACTTTTTTATTCAATAAATGATTTTGAATATCTTGAATTTATGATTTCAATTATTTATAAATTGTGCTACTTGGTGTCTCAGATTAATATTGTTGGTGACTTCAACTTACCTAAAATGGATTGGCAAAAATACTATATCATCAAACGAAAAGTGTCATAATATTTTCTTAAATTTGATAAACAAACTCGGTTTGCATCAATTTGTTAAAGAACCTACGTATAAAATCAGTTTTCTTGATCTTGTATATTCTAATAAAATTTCTCCATCTAAGTGGAATATCTTTCGATTATCCTTTTATCACTAGCGACCAAAACACAATCCAATTTTCTATAAATGCAAATGGTTTCAACCAGTGTAAACATAGATCAGAATCTTATTACGACTTTCTTAATGCTGATGTTAAGGGTCTTGAGTAATATCTATCCAATATAAATTGGTACTTCGAGTTTTCTTGTGCCTGTAAAAATGAGGGCTACTGGAGAATTTTTCTAAGGCATTTTTGAACTGGTATTTATGTTTAACTGCACCTATCAAAAGAATTATTACAAAATGAGAAATCACTATCCGAAATACATTAATAAAATCTTAAGCCGCTAAGTATTTTTATGGAGAAGATGGATGATTAAAAAAACCAATAAGAAAACAATACGCCAGAAATTTCAAACAAGTCTTATCTAATTATCAATCGAAAAATGAATTAAACCTAGTTAAGGAAAATAACATTAGCAAATTTTATAATTATGTTAATAATAAATGAATATCCCTAATAAGCACTACGATCTAAAAGACAAATATAAAAATAACAAGGTAACTTCAAGTAATTGCTAACCTTTTTAATAATCATTTCAGAAATGTTTTTACGGAAGATTATAATTACTCTCCTCATATAATCATTCAATAGGTTTTGACACTGTTTAATTTCCCGTGGAATCAGTTCATAAAACCTTAATGGGAATTGAATCTAGCATCTTGTACAATTCTGATGGTATACCTAATGCAATTCTAAGAATTTATCTCATGCTTTATATTTCCTCTTTCATATATTTTTGAGGTTAACACTTCAAGTTTTTGTTTCTATAATTTTTAAAAAAGGAGCTACATTGGATCCTAACAACTTTAGACCCATCTCTTTAACTTGTACTTTTAATCATGGAAAGAATTTTTAACTCACATATTGTTGAGTAGCTAAACAATTATAATATAATATTTACTAGTCAGCATGGTTTTCTTAATAAACGTTCCACGTGCACGAATCATTTAGAATCTACTAATTATTGGGGTATATCACTTGAAATCATCTGATAACAGATGTTATATATATTGAATTTCAAAAGGCTTTTGATTCCTTATCTCATTTAAAACTATTTTTTAAATTTTCATTATACAATGTATGTGGCAATCTTTTAAAGTGAATCTCTGCATTCACAGACAAATCTCAATAATTTAAGATTGATAGTTCTTTATCAGATACGATTTGGACCGATATTAACCGTGTATCTCAGCAGTGTAGGGTTCTGTGCTGGAACCAAATTTGTTTTTATTATTTACTAAAGACTTATCATTTGTAGATAACAGTCTTGAATGTACAATAAAGCTTTATGCTTATGATTTAAAATTATATAGCTTATATCATAAGGCATGCTATCGGAAAAATCTGACCATCTTTCTTGATCAAAAAAGGATCTAAGAAAGCTTAAATGTATCTAAATCAATATACTTTTAAAAAATTAAGACTGTAAAAATTACATATTATTAGGGCAAAAACAAAAGTAAATTAAGTTTTACAGAAAATTCTGACTTTCTTTTTTTAGCAGCTCTCTTTAGCAGTGTAATCCCAATTTTTCTTTAAATCTGTAGCTGATTTTACTGTTTTTCCACTTAATTTCAATTTCTTTTTTATGATGGCCCAATATTTTTTAATAGGACTTAATTCGGGGCAGTTTGGAGGATTTATCTTTTTCGGAACCAACATCACTCCATTATTCATCTATTAAGTAATGTATTGTGGCTAAATCAGGCCAAAACAATACTGAAGTACTTCTATTAGCCGTTTTATACGAGAAAGACAACATTTCACGTATTCCGAAGATTTCATTGTGCCCAAAAAAACATGAATTAGCGATTTTTTGCCGCAAGAGCAAAGTTCGTGCCAAATCATCAATTTTTTCGAAAACTTATCAGTCATTACATACTTGTATTTATCACTCACCTTTCCTCTTATTTTAGGAGCATAGTAGCACTGCCCAGGAACTTGTTTAAAATCCATTTTAACATAAGATTCGTCATCCATCAAAATGCATCCATTATATTTTGTTAACAAGTTATCATACAACTTTCGAGCTCGACTCTTTGCAGTTGAATTTTGTTTATCGTTGCGATTTGGCATTTTAACTACTTTAAAACTTTGATATCCAAGTTTCTGTCGCCATTTATAATATAATAATATATATTTCGCCATAAAGAAAATATTTACAAAATTAGACTTTAAAAACTGGATATACACGGCTGGGGCAAGAAGAAGACAAATTCAATCTTATCGCCAAGCCCCTTCAAACAAGAATACAAGTAACAAACAAAACAAAAAACCAAAAAACCAAAAAAAATCCGTTATCACAATATAATATATGCGTAAGGTACATATATAAATACAAATATCTAAATATTTTTCATTAAAATTTAATATTTTTTTTTAGTTTTTTTTTTTATTAGGATTTCAAATTTTAATAGTAAATAAAAATGAGATAAAACATGATAATTTAAGAAGGTAAAGATTCAAATTAAAATCAAAAATTAATATGTTAAAAATAAATTAAATATCAAGTAAAAAACAAGTGATTACTCCTATTTAAAAGTTTCAAAAGAAGTCAAGTTCATTGTCAATTATCAAGAGTTTACTTTTTATTTTTTTTTTAAATTGATCAAGGGAAGAAATTTTTTTAAACTCATTATCCAATAGGGTGTTCCATAATTTTGGTCCTCTGATTGCTATCGAGAACCTAGTCGCAGAATAATATTTTTTTGGTTGAATATAATTGTTGTTTGAAAATCTTGTTGGGTATAAATGATTTATTTTTTCGAAAAATGAATTAAATAAAATGGGTGCCATTTTATTATCTACTTTGAACATAAATATAAAAATATGATATAGGTTAAGTTGAAATACGTTAAGTATTTTGAATTTATTAAAAAGTAATTTAGTGTGCGAAAAGCGATTTACATTTCCAATAATTCTTAGAGCGTGTTTTTGTTTAATTAGAAGCCCTTTATTTTTAGATACATTAGTGCTGCACCAAGCAACGTTAGCGTAACTTAGATAGCAATTAATAAAAGAAAAGTAAATAAGTTTCAAACAAGTTTGGTTCAACAACTGTTTTTCTTTGTATAAAAGGCCTATATTTTTGGAAATTTTATTTTGGATTATTCGTATGTGCTCCTTCCATGTTACGTTTTCATCTAAAACAACGCCTAGAAACAACAAAGAACTCTCTCTTTTAACATAAGAGTTATTAATAAAAAGCTTAGGAAGTTGTAAGGTATGTTGTCTTTATCATGAAGACGATGGAAGAAAGTATATTTTGTTTTTTTAATATTTATGGACAGTTTATTTGATATAAACCATTCGCTTAGTTTCAAAAGCTCCTCGTTCACTGTTGTAAATAAAAAATTAATATCTTTATTTGAATAAAATACGTTTGTATCGTCAGCAAATAAAATTGAATTTAAGATATTGGAAAATTTACTCAAATCATTTATATAAATGAGAAATAAAAGCGGTCCTAGAATTGATCCTTGGGGGACTCCGCAGGTAATTGTCATCAAGTCTGTTTTCTCGCCATCATATAAAATGCATTGTTTCCTATTCTTTAAATAACTCTTAAACCAGCCTAAGTTAGAATTTATGATACCATAATTTTTAAGTTTATAAAAAAGAATATTTTTATAAACAAAAAAATTGGAAACCTTCAGTTTTTTCGCTTGAAATCTATCAGACCAATCAGGATGTTCTTCCAATGAAGTCTCCAACCGTTTGAGAGCTCTAGGATTTGCTGTGCGTTTTTTTTGACCACTTCCTTGTTTCCTTTGAATAGTTTTCAGTTCTGTAAACCGTTTAAGAACAGTATCTACAGTTCTTCTTGATATTTTTAATGATTTCGCTAACTTTCTATTCAATAAAGTTGGATTTTTTTAAGTGTTTGTCCACATTCAAAAGTCGGTTTTT